CTTTCCCTAAGCAGCTTTGATCATGATAGTTATTACAGCCACAGAAATGAAACTAGACACACAACAAGCTGTCATATTCACCAAGCCATGTCCCCAGCCTTTTTCTGATTTTTAAAAATGGTTTTAAAATATTTTGTTAATTTTATGTGTATGAGTGCATGCCTGCATGTATGTAAGTGCACACAGGTCATGCAATGCCCATGGAGGTCAGAAGAGGGTGTCAGATTCCCCTGGAACTGGAATTACAGACAGTTGTTAGCTGCCATGTGAGTGTTGGGACTCAAACCTGGCTTCTCTGCAAGAGCAGTCAGTACTCTTAACTGCTGAGCCATCTCTTCAGCCCCCAAGTGGCTATTTCTTTATTTTCTTCTATTCCCACTTATCTCTTCTTCTGAAGATCATAAGCTACAGAAATGTATCCTGGTCAGTTTCCATATTCTGAGAGTATAGCTATTGATTATTATATAAAACTATCTATTCAATCAAGACCAATATGAATAGTCCTGTCTCATAGATACAATGACCAGCAATCAACACGTTCTAATTAGAAACTACCTCAAGAAAATAAAGAAATATTCCTTATTTTATCTGCAATTACTTTAAAATAATAACACATTACATTATAATAATTTTGGGTTTGGTTTGGGGTACAGGGTCTTGATATGTAGCCCCAACTAGCCTCACATTCCTGATCCTCCTGCCCCAAACTCCCATGTGCTGTAATCCCCCCATATACCACCACACCCTGCTTCATAGTATTACATTTAAATTAACTGGATCTATGATGGCACATGGAGAGGACAGTTTCTCTTCAAAGATATTTCTCTTTTGACTCATCAGTTTACTGTGAGAATGTGATTTTATTCCTGAGATTTGTCTTTTCAAGTATGTTTTTGAATTCTCAGACTCAAGTCCTTCACAGAACAGTATGGGTGCTCTATGAGCCCCTTCAAGAATTCAGCACAAAGACTGAAATAATTGGTGAATAACAAACCTTAGGAAATTATTTTGTTCTATTTATATATTCTTCTGATTTTTGTTATTTTTTTACTTTCATTGGAAGCTATCTAGGAAATAATACTCAGAAGGAAAAAATAACTTTGTTTTGGATCATAAAAATTTTCACTTTAACAGATTAATGGACTTTTCCCCCTTATAAAGAATCTTAGGGGGACTGAGAAGATAGCTTAATCAGTAAAGTGCTTGCTGCACAGGCATGACGACCTGAGTTCAGATCCCAGCTCATAAATCTGGGCACAATGCTGGGAGGCAGAGACAGGAGGATTCCCAGAGCTCAGTCAGACAGTCAAATAAGAGAGCTCCAGGTTCAGTGCTTGTCTCAAAAACTAAGGTAGAGAGACTGCCTGTTCTAGCCCCCCCCCAGCATAGGGGCTGAGAATTAAGCCTGAGAGTTCCAAAATCCCCCCCCCAATTAGGGAACTTCCCAAATTTTGCCCTGAGTTCCTGCTAGTAGGGGTCCAAACCTTAGAAGGAAGCTTGAGCATAGCTGACTTGGGCTTCTGTGGGAGACCTTGAGTAACTGATCTGAAACCATCAGTTCCCTCCAAAATAAAACCTGAGAGAAACTGAAACCTGGACCAACCAGCTTTACATAACCAATGAGAAAAGGACCAAGGGCACCAGTAATAGAAACAGAAGCAAACTTCAACTTAATTTTCATATCAGAATCACAAACAACAAAAGAAATTCACATGCCAAAATCACAACAAAAGAATAATAAAATGGAAATCCAAAACACTATATCCTCACCAAACTCCACTAGTCCTGTAGAAGAGTTCTACAAGGAGAATCCCCTAGAGATAATGCAGGATACAGAATTTAGAAGAAAAGTCATAAACATGATCAAGGAAGTCAATGAATTTAAAGAACACATGAACAAAGAACTAAAAGAAGATATGGATAAACTTCTGAATGAATTCACAAAAGAGATACAAACATTGAAGAAAACTCAGGCAGAAATGAGGAAGGAAGTGAAATAGTCAATAAGTCAACTTGAAACAGGAGAAAGCCTCACCACTGGAATGAATGAGATGGAAGACAGAATATCAACACTGGAGGATGAAGTTGAAGAATTGGACCACTCAAGCAAAGATTATGATAAATTTTTAAAAACACATGAATGGAATATACAAGAGATGTGAGATACCATGAAAAGACCAAATCTACATACCATAGGCATAGAGGAAGGGGAAGAATTTCAGGTTAATGGTATTAACCAGATCTTAAACAGGATGGTAGAAAAGAATTTCCCAAAATTAAAGAAAGACATCCCTATACAAATACAAGAAGCACATAGAACACCAAATAGACAGGACCAGAAAAGAAACTCCCCATGTCATATCATAGTAAAAACACTAAATGTACAGAATAAAGAGAGAAAAGCAGCAAAAGAAACAAAACAAGTCACATACAAAGGAAAGCCCATCAGAATTACAGCTGACTTATCACTGCAAACTATGGAAGCCAGAAGAACCTGGACCAACGTATTTCCAGTTCTAAATGACAATAGATGCCAGCCCAGAATACTCTACCCAGCAAAAATGTGTTACAATTGATGGGGAAAGAAAAACTTCCACGACACAAATAGCCTGAAAGAATACATGTCCATGAAACCAGCCCTTCAAAGAATACTTGAAGCAATTCAGAGAGCAGAGAGAGAAACAACTATAGCCCAGGGGCAACAAAAGAAAATAAATAAAGGTATAACCTAGGAAACACAAAATTAGACAGAGAACACAAACAGCAATCAAAATGATGAGAACCAATACACATTTTTCAATAATAACCTTAAATATAAATGGACTGAACTCCCCAGTCAAAATACACAGGCTAAGTGAATGGATTAAGAAACAAAATCAATCTTTATGCTGTCTGGAAGAAATCCTTCTCACCTTCAAGGACAGGCACTACTTTAAGGTGAAAGGATAGAAAAGAATGTTCAAAAAAATAGCAATAAGACACAAGCAGGGGTTGCAATTCTAATATCTGACAAAATAGACTTCAAAGTAAAGCTAATCAGAAGAGATAAGGAGGGTCACTTCAAAGGAAAAATTAACCAAGAAGATATTACAATACTTAACATATATGCTGAATTAAACAATATCATATATCAAATACCTAACAGACATCTACAGGACTATAAGGCACAGATTAACCCCAACTCAGTAATATTAGGGGACTTCAATACCCCACTGTCTTCATTAAACAGGTCAACTGGACAAAGAATAAACAGAGAGATATCATAATTAAACAATACCATACATCAAATAGACCTAACAGACATCTTTCAAATATTCCACCCAAGCACCAAAGAATACACTGTCTTCTCAGCACCCCGTGGAACCTTTTCAAATATTGACCTCATACTGGGGCACAAAACACACCTCAACAAATACAAAAATATTGAAATGATTCCATGCACTTTTTCAGATGACAATGCAATACAGTTCAAAATCAGTACTGGAAGAAGCTTTAGTCACTACACAAACTCATGGTGATTAAACATCACAAGGAGAAATGAAGAAATAAAAGAATTCCTTGAATTCAACAAAAAGGACAATACAACACAACAAAACCTCTGGGACACATTAGAAGCAGTCATAAGAGGAAAGTTTATGGCACTAAGTGCCTACATTAAAAAATTATAAAGAGTCCAAATAAATGACCTAACATTGCAACTCAAGATGCTAGAAAGGCAAGAACAAATGAAACACAAACCCAGCAGAAGAAAAGAAATGACAAAAATAAAAGCAGAAGTCAATGAAATAGAAACAAAGAAAACAATACAAAGAATCAGTGAATCTAAGAGCTGGTTATTTGAAAAGCTAAGCAAAATAGACAGACCCTTGGCCCAGTTAACCAAAAGAAAGAAAGAGCAAACCCAAATCAACAAAATCAGAGATAAAAAGGGAAACATTACAATAGACACCCAAAAGATCCAGAACATTATTAGGGAATAATTTAAAAACCTACACTAAATTTGAAAATCTGAAAGAAATGGATGGATATCTAAAATCATGGGAATTGCCAAAGTTAAACCAAGAAGAGATCAACAGTTTAAACAGAGCCAAACACACAAGGAAATTGAAACAGTAATACAAAGCCTCCTAACTAAAAAAAAAAAAAAAAAGCCCAGGCCCAGATGGATTTACAGCATAATTCTACCAGACATTCAAAGAAGACCTCCAACCCATACTACTTAAATTATTCAAAACAATAGAAACAGAGGGAGAACTCCCAAATTCCTTCTTTGAAGACAGCACCACTCATACCCAAACCAGGCAAAGACACAACCAAAAAAGAAAACTATAGACTGAACACAGATGCAAATTTCTCAACAAACTACTTGCAAACCACATACAGACACACATCAAAAAGATCATTTACCATGATCAAGTAGGATTTATTCCAGAGATGCAGGCATGGTTCAATATACGCAAGTCAATAAACATCACTAATCACATAAATGGACTCAAAGACAAAAACCACATCATCATCTCAACAGATGCAGAAAAGGCTTTTTCCAAAATTCAACATGCATTCATAATAAAAGTTCTAAAGGGAATTGGACTGGAGGGAACATACCTCAACATAATTAAAGCTAAATACAAGAAACCCACAGCCAACATCATTCTAAATGGAGAAAAACTGGAAGCATTCCCATTAAAATCAGGAACCAGACAACGATGTCCACTATCCCCACTCCTTTTCAACATAGTGCTTGAAACTCTTGCTAGAGCAGTAAGACAAGAGAAAGAAATTAAAGAAGTGCTAATTGGAAAAGAAGAGGTCAAACTACCCCTTTTTGCAGATGATATGATACTATACCTAAGAGATCCTAAAAGTTCCACCAGAAAACTTGTAGAACTGACCAACACTTTCAGTATAGTGTCAGGTTATAAAATCAATCTACAAAAATCAGTAGCCTTTCTATATACCAAAAACAAGCAATTAGAGAACAAGTACAGGGAAATGTTCCCTTTCACAATAACAGCTGCAAAAAAAAAATATCTTGGAATAAGCCTGACCAAAGACACCAAAGATCTCTATAATGAAAATTTTAAATCGTTAAAGAAAGAAAATGAGAAAGACACCAGGAGATGGAAGGACCTCCCATGCTCATGGAAGAATTAATATTGTGAAAATGACCATCCTACCAAAAGCAATATATAGATTCAATTCCAATCAAAATCCCCATGACATACTTCACAGAATTAGAAAAAAAAAATCCATAAACTCGTATGGAAGCACAGAAGACCCAGATAGCCAAAGCAATCCTGAGCACAAAGAACAACACTGGGGGATTACTATACGAGATCTCAAAGCATACTACAGAGCTACAGTCATAAAAACAGCATGGTACTTGCACAAAAGTAGACACATAGATCAATGGAACACCATCGAGGACCCAAATCCAAGTATATGCAATTCCAGTCATCTGATATTTGACAAAGGGGCCAAGAACACACAATGGACGAAAGACAGCATCTTCAAAAGATGGTGTTGGCAAAACTGGATCTCCACCTGTAGAAGAATGAAACTAGATCGTTATCTTTCACCTTGCACAAAAGTCAACTCCAAATGGATCAAAGACCTCAGTGTGAAACTGGAAACCCTGAAACTATTAGAAAAAAATATTGGCAATTACTTACAAGATACAGGTATAGGAAAGGATTTTCTAAATCGGACAGAAGTAGTTCAGGAATTAAGGTCAGCAATCAACAAGTGGGACCTCATTAAACTAAAAGGCTTCTGTACAGCAAAAGAAATAACCAAAGAAGTGAAGAGAAAACCCACAGAATGCAAAAGGTTTTCAAAAGGAAAAAGTAAAGATGGCTACAAAACATGCTAAAAAGTGTTCAACACCCTTCGTAATTAGGGAAATGCAAATTAAGGCCATTTTAAATTTTCATCTTAACCCAGTGAGACTGACTAAGATTAAGAGAACAAATGATACCAAATGCTGGGGAAGATATGGGGAAAGGGGAATACTAATTCACTGCTGGGGGGATTATAAACTTTTGCAACCACTGTGGGAAGCAGTGTGGAGAACTTTCAAAAAAGTAAAAGTAAACCTGCTATATGAACCATTTGCCACTCCTTTGACTTACCCAAAGGCCTCATCCTATTGTAGAGACACTTGTACAACCATGTTTGTTGCTGCTCTTTACACAATAGCTAAGAGATGGAAGGAACCTAAGTAGCCCTCAACTGATGAGTGGTTAACAGAAATGTGGTATATTTACACAATGGAGTTCTATTCAGTGGTAAAGGATGATGAAATAATGAAATTTGCAGGTAAATGGATGGATCTAGAAACTGATACTAAGTGAAGTAACACATTCAGAAAAACAAAAGACATATGTTCTCCCTCATTTGTGGATCCTAGCACCAAATCCTTTTAAATTCCATGTTCTTTTAATAAAATGATTCTGTACAGCAGTCTCTTCTGTGTGAAATAACTACCATCATCTCGACTTCAGCTGTGCCTGCTTGCTAAACATTGTCACAATTGGACTTGTTGAAGGTTGTGCTCCTTCATTAAAGGAGGGGCAAGCAGGGTCAGTGGACCCTCATTGGAGTATCCAGCCACTTTTCCAAGCCAACTGTATGTAAGTTGGTCCTAATCACACATGGTCTCCTGGATTTGGGGAGGACTAAAGTACATAATCTGGGGAAGGTAAGGAAGAGAAGGTTTGATCCATGCTGGGTAAAAGCTTTCCAGTGTGCATACCCCCAGCTCACTCATATACCTCAGCAACCCCTGAGTCATCTCTATAAGTAAGCTCAATAAATTCATTGGTTCCCCAGGAAAACTTCAATCAAACGTTGCTTTAACACTAGAACCCTAAAATGGGATGTGCATTGCTTAGTATCTCCCATGAAAAGAATTCTCACAATAGATGGAAATTTTGTTAATGTTATTGTATCTCATAATTATTTAAGAAAAGAAAATGAGAATACAAAAGATGTTAAAAGGATATGGAAATGGAGATATTTTCCAAAATAGAAAAAATAAGAAAGGCTAAGCAAATGAGAGGGTCTGTGTAGGTTTGCTATGATATATAAAGGATGAGACAAAAATAATATACACATAATCTTAAAATTTCTAATCATAGTTTAGTCAACTAATTTAAGGAACAAAATATATGTCTGTCAAGGTTTATCTGAGAATGTCTGGGTTTTGCCCAAGCTTTATCCACATAGCACATGGTAATTAAAAGTACAAGACTGGTGGAACTAACCTTATTGGATGTTTAACAGCCATACTTTGAAGACTACACTTACCTGGTCAGAGTGACTTAAAGAACAGTTTTTGCTCCTTGCCCTCCAAGGTCGACTAAGTTCCAGGGGACTATGAACCATCTCTCAAAATGTCCTGTAATGGTGGAGTCACCCATCCCCCTGTTCAGGGTAGCCATAGAGACCCCAACAGATGGACTTGAACCAATGTCCAGTCTACAAAGAGAAGTGTCAAGTCAGAGGAAATATTTCTTCTATGCTTCCAAGTGAAGCCAGCCATGGTCGAGCAGGACCTTTGACTTATCTTCACATAGATGGAACTGGTAAAAGAAAGGAGCCAGGGGGTCCTCCCAAGCCCATGTGACACCTAAGGAACAGATCCTCAAATAACCTGAAGAATAAAAATGAATTGGTTTATTTGGGCCAACTGTAGGGTCTTAAACACCCAAAAGGAAAGTATAACCAAAGATTAAAGTAATCAGTGTATTTCTTTAAGAGTTCAAGGGATGCTTTTGGATGTCCTTATCAAGAAATTCCAATGGACTCTCATATGAATATTTGAAAGTTTCCCTGTTCTGACATTTTTCTAGTTTCCTGTCTAGAACTTGGAACACTAATTATTCTTGCCTTACTTCTCCTTCATATCCCCTATTCACCAGTCAAGGACCTTCTTTTCTCCCTACAGATAAGAGTTATGCAATTTGGGAGTCTTTTACATAGACCCACTGAAGGGGTACTCCAATAGCCTCACCCTGCGCCCCTGTTCAGCCTGAAAGAAGCCAGTGTGCTCTGCATCCCCATTCCCTATCGATAATTTGCGTAACCTCTTCAGAGGATGGTGTGATAAGAATAGAAGGTAGGAATTGGCTAGGCATTTAGGGTAAAAAGACTCCAAAGAAAAGTAGCCAGTTTCTTGGCTAAAAGTCAAAATGTCCTTGCACCTCTTAGCAACATACTCTGTTCCAAAGGCCAAAAATGTCAAAAGTATTTGGGAGCACTTATCTAACCCCTAAAATATTTTAGGGTTACCTCCTCAGAGGGGGGAATGTTAGAGTAGCAAAAAGCCCCATGAAGGAGAGAGAGAACACAAAGTTGTCAGAAAAAAAGTGATGGGAAGATATGGAAGAGGATGGAGGGGAGGACTTGGGCATGGATTTGATCAAAACACCTTATATGCATCTATGAAATTCCCATTAAAGTTTTTAAAAAAATAAGGTTGAAACTTGACTCACTCAATAGGTCTTAACATATATGACAGAACGCATGAAATCCAGTGGGGCAGGGGAGGCTATGGGGTGCAGATAGGGGAGGGGGTCTAAATATGATTAAGATGTATTGTATTGTATGAAATGCACAAACATTCGATTAAAATATATTGTAAAAAAAATAAGGTGAAAAGTGATGACAACCACCCAATATTGATCTCTGTCCCCGCACAGAACACACATTCTCTCTCTCTCTCTCTCTCTCTCTCTCTCTCTCTCTCTCCCTCTCTCTCTCTCTCTCTCTCAGTGACTTAAAGGAAATTTTTTCGGTATAGTTTTGAAAATAAAATAAAAATCACAATTAAAGTCAATCACTGTGAAATCAGTTCTGCTTTATAATAGAGGTGAAATCCTAGAACAAACACGGAACAGTTGTATCTCAAAGCCACATCCACCTGGTTCCGAACCAGAGATTTTGTCCAATGGAATTGCCAGATGGAACCTACATTAGAGAATTCCATTCCTCAAGTTCCAATATGTTTAATTTTCATGAATTGAAACCTTCGTAAATAAATAAATAAATAAAAAGGCGAAACAAACTCCATATCACAGAAGAAAAGACTGGTTTCCTTGCCCCTACTGCTAAGTACAATCAATGAGAGTTTCCTAGGAAACTAAAAGATCACAATCCAACCTTCATTGGAATTTATACTTCCACTCTCATCAGAAATACAGAGAAATCTAGTGCATATCTCAACTCACCAGTGACGCTTCCTTATACAGCAGAGTGCAACGCACACAGAAGGCCACAACTGCCCCAGTTTTAAAGAGTAAGAGACTGCGGAGAATGCTTCCCTGGATAGGACTCCTATGTTAAACTCACCCACCCAGCTCAGGTACCATTGCAGAAGAGGGAGTGGAATGATTTTAAGAGCCAGGGCTGGTCCATGAACACAAGGAAGCAGAGGCTTTCAGGCCACTGGAAACTTGCACATGTGAACTTGAGGTATTGATGGCATTGAGCACCAGACCCATGCCAACTCAGTTGGACAAGGGCCCAGAGTGGAACAAGGGAAATGGGTGGTGGGCCGGTCCTAGTCTGGGAACTCCTGGAGACTGACTACTGCTGGGTGAGGGACAGCAGATCTCTAGATAGGCTGACTACAGTGGATGAGTTTGCACTGAAGGACATCAGGGTACAAATGCTTGACTGGATTAAACTTAACATGTATGGAGGAATGCATGAAGTCCGGTGGGGATTGGGGAGCATGGAGTGGGGATGGGTCTAAATTTAATTAAGAACTCTTGTATAAAATGTTCAATTTTTAAAATTTTTTTTAAAAAAGAAATGCAGGCAGAGATTGGAGCTGTAGTTCAGTAGCAGAGCAGATGTGTAGCATGAATAATATCCTAAACCTGATCCCCTGAACCAAAATGAACATTTTCCTAAATAATTTAATGCAAGCTGGGCATGGTGGTACACACTTTAATCCCAGGACTATGGTAGAGGCAGGCAGATCTCTGAGATAGAGATCAGCCTGGTCTACATGGTGAATTCCTGCCCAGCGGGGCCTACAGGAAGACCCTGTCTCAAAAAGACAAAAATTAAAATAAACAAGTAGATAGTATAATGCACCTACAAATGAAATACAGGAAATGTAAAGAAGGCAAGTTTCATGTCCACTACCACACCATTCTTAATACACCTAATCTCATCTGCTCTTGGAAGCTGTCCTAGTTTGTTTCTCCATTGCTGTGACAAAACATTATGACCACTACCAACTTGGGGAGGAAAGGGTTTATTTGTCTTACATCTCCTGGGTCACAGTTTATCACTGAGGGAGGCCAAGGTAAGAACTCAGGGCAGGAACCTGGAGGCAGGAGCTGGAGCACAGGCCATGGAGGAACACTGCTTTCCCCTGGCCCCTGCTCAGCCTGCTTTCTTATGCAACATAGGCCCACCTGCCCAGGGATAGCACCACCCACAGTGGGCTGGGCCCTCCCACATCACTCATCAAGAAGATGCCCCTCAGACATGGCCACAGGCCAGTCCGATAGAGGCAATTCCCCAATAGAGGCTCCCTCAACCCAGGTGTGTCAAGATGACACTAAAGCTATCCAGCACAATTGATCCCTTGTAAACTTAACACACAAACACATCACTATTAAACCATAACCTTTTCAATTCTTGTCCCCAAGATAAGATGTTAACAATAATATCACAACATAAGACAGTACAACCTTAAAAGCCCCACAGTACTTAAAAAATACAAACACTTAAAAGTTTAGTCTTCTTTAAAAGTCTCTTAACTGGGGGTTCCTGTAAAATCCAAAACAAGTACTGTCTTATTTCAAAGGGAAGAATCAGGCACACCTAAGCAAAACCTAAGTCCAGCAAAGTAGCTCGAGGCTGGACATCTGGGACTCATCACAACCTTCTGGGCTCCAAAGGGTTCTGGCAACTCCACTTCTCTGACTCTGCCATTCACAGCTCACACAGTTCGCTTTGCAGACCTAGGCTGGATCCATCCCACACCTATTGCTATCCTTGGTGGTCGTCCCATGGTCCTGGCATCTCAAAAAAACTAGGATCTCCACTGAAACTGAGGCTACACCTTCACCAATGGCCTCTTCTTGCCTCTCCAGGTGCAAAGCCTCAGATTCTCTCCATGACCCCTTCAGTCCTGGGGTCTTCACTGCAACTGAAGCTGCACTTTCACCTATGGCCTTTCCTGGCCTCTCAGAGTGCCAAGCCTCAGCTGCTTTCTGTGACACCTTCACACTTTCAGCACCAGAACCATGCAGGAGACTCTTACACATTACCAAGTCCTGCTTCCAGCTTGAGATAGAGGCTCAGGCCCCGTCTGTGTGCTGACCCTGAGGAAATACCTCCCAGAAGATTCTACCACAGTGATGCTGGTCTCTTGTTACTTACAGCTGATTTTTCAGCCCCAGCTAACCAGCATCAATTGTCCCAGTAAAGCAAAGGTTTTACTTCAGGTTCTGGTCTCTTCTTAATCACAGCTGATTCTTCAGCCCCAACTGACCAGAGCCCACAGATTCTCAACACAAAATCTCACACAAACAACCCTAATAGTCTCTGCTTCCCTTTGAAGCTTCACAAGCCAGGCCCCCATCATCCACAACACTTTCAATATAACTGTTCCAAGATCCACAGCAACAAACTCTAAGCACTCAGTGGCTTCTCAGTCCAAAGTTCCAAACACTTCAACAGTCCTCCCCAAAACAACTGAGTCAGATCTGTCACATCAATACCCCGTGATCCTGGTACCAATTTCTGTCCTAGTTTGTTTCTCCATTGCTGCGACAAAACACTCTGACCACTACCAACTTGGGGAGGAAAGGGTTTATTTGTCTTACATCTCCTGGGTCACAGTTCATCACTGAGAGAGGCCAAGATAGGAACTCAGGGCAGGAACCTGGAGGCAGGAGCTGGAGCACAAGCCATGGAGGAATGCTGCTTACTGGCTTGCTCCCCTGGCCTCAACCTGCTTTCTTACACAACATAGGCCCACCTTCCCAGGGGTGGCACCACCCACACCCACAGTGAGCTGGGCCCGCCCACATCACTCAGCAATCAAGAAGATGCCCCACAGACATGGCCACGAGCCAGTCCTATGGAGGCAATTCCCCAGTTGAGGCTCCCTCAACCCAGGTGTGTCAAGTTGACACTAAAGCTATCCAGCACAGAAGCTAAACAGGGTTGGGCATGGCTAGTGTTTGGATGAGAGAAGGGAAGTTTCAGAAAATCAAAGGTCATAATCCACATATTGATAACCAATTTATATTTTGGTCCACAGGGCACAACCTATTCTCATAAGTTATATAAAGTGACTTAAAATGTGTATAGAGCAAGTTCCAGGCCAGCTGGGGCTACAGGGAGGCCCTATCTCAAATGAGAGAGAGAGAGAGAGAGAGAGAGAGAGAGAGAGAGAGAGAGGCTTTAAACTCAGTATATACCCTATTCCTTTACCATGTAAGCATAAGCACGTGCCTTAAGATCACAAAATGCATTGCAAGATTGCTAATAACAATGACCATTTTCAGGATGATTGGCAGGCCAAACAAGCACATGTAATTTGATGAGTTTTAATATTGATTTTTAAAGTAGACACAAGAAGCCAATGTTCAGAACCAAAATCTATGGGAATACTACTTTCCTTATTTTTAATGTGCTGTATCTATAATTACTGATTGTCCAAATTTTCTTCTTTGTTCCTTATTCTTGCAAACGGATATTGCTTCCTATGGCCATTTTCTGAAGTATTTTATCCAAGCAGCACATGGGAATGGGAAGAATCCTGATTTAGAAACCTGAGGTTATCCTCCTTTTATGAGGCATAAAACTTCCTCAGGAAATAAACAACCCTAATGAGATGTTTGTATGAAAACTGGTACCAACAGTGTTAAAGGAAGCACCCAGTGCGGTCTGTAAATACCCATTTGAAGGGTGATATAAAAGTCACTCCAGAGAAGGAGGCGTTTGGAGTCAACACATCCAGAGTACTGCACCCCAGCTCTGCTTCGCTTCTCAGAGGATGACTTCCCACAGTTCCCCCAGGTGCTGTTCTGCTGAGCCCTGTGCTGCCAACTGTACTTCTGATCCACCCTGTCCCACAGACACAACTTGCCTCCCCGGCACCTGCGCCACATCCAGATGTCAGACGCCGAGCTTCATATCCAGGTGTCACCTGCCGATCTGTTGTGTCACGCCTTGCCACTTTGCTGATGGGTGTAACAGTCCCGGCGTGGCGGGAAGCTGTCCGTGGTGTGAGGAAGGGGCGTTCAACAGCAATGAGAAGGAGACTATGCAGTTCCTGAATGACAGACTGGCCAACTACCTGGAGAGGGTGCGCAGCCTGGAGGAGACCAACGCAGAGCTGGAATGCAGGATCCGAGAGCAGTGTGAGCCCGACGCCCCGCTGGTGTGTCCTGATTATCAATGTTACTTCGACACCATTGAAGAACTTCAACAAAAGGTGACGTGTCTCTGTGGCTCTAATGTTCTACCTCTGCTGGTTCTGATTCCCTTCACATTTATACTAGGAAAGGTTGCTTTATGGAAATAACGCAGAGCAAGGGGGAATCCCAAGAGTGGATGTGCTGTAAAAAAGAGTCCTGGAGAAACTATAAAAATGTTACCACCTCTCTGTAGATATTTTCATCTACAGAATGGGAGTGCCTGTATTCTATCTAAAATCACTTCTGCATGTAACACTGCATTTTTTCCCAAGCATATTGAACATCGTCTTCGTAATTTCACACGGTGTTTTTTTCTTTCCTTTTTATGTGTTGGTGCGTGCATGCATGTTTGGGGGTGTTGCATTACATGCTTGAGGAGGCCGGAGGTCAATGTCTGGTGTCTTATCCACCTTATATTTTGACGCAGTCTCTCACTGAACCTAGAGCTCACTGGTTTGACTAAACTAGCTGACCAGTGAGCCCCAGGGATCCTCTTGTTGTTCCCTCCCCAGGGCTGGGATTACAGGCACACACACCCTTGACTTGCTTTAAGCATTCTACTAGGGGCACTGTCTCCCTAACTGCATGACTCTCTTCTTGATTGCTGAATTTCTATGACCAAAGATGGGGGCACGAGCCTAGGACAAGCTAATAGAAAGAGCTACTGAAAGAGCTCAATGTTCAACTGCCAAGGATTATCACGAAGCACCTGGGTCCCTTCAAAAGAAAACCTTTCTGGTTTTGCATTGTATATCTAATTGACACTGCATTATTTTTGTTTTATGAAGTGATACAGTTGATAAGAAAAGCGTTTTCTTTTACGTTAATGTACAGATTTTTATAAGATAAGAAGTGGCATAGCTGTTGAAATACACACTTAGGTTTCTTTCAAAGAGTTGTTTGTTCACTAGATCTTGTGCACGAAGGCAGAGAATTCCAGACTCGCGGTGCAGTTGGACAACTGTAAACTGGCTGCTGATGATTTCAGGTCAAAGTAAGTTTAACAGAGTTTTATCTTTTAAACCATTCCTTGTTTTATGTATGGCAATAAAATTTGGGGGTTTGTTGTTGTTTTTTGAGACAGGGTCTCCCTGTAGCCTCAGCTGGCCTAGAACTTGCTATGTAGACCAGGCTGGCCTCAGTCTCATAGAGATCCACCTGCATCTGCCTCCTCAATCCTGGAGTTAAAGGCCTGTGGCCATCTGGTAGTATTTTTAAGCCAAGAATGTTTAAATTTTAAACTTATCCTTATTTGGGAAGTAAGGGAAATTGCAATATGTGGCTCTCTGGAGCCCACCCCCCCCATCATCCTTGGACCTCAGTAGTTTGCTCAATATCTAGCAAACTAATCTCTCTCTCTCTCTCTC